CAGCTTCGCTGACCTCAACCAGTCAAATTCACACATTCTTTCAACAAATTCTTCAAATCACTGAAAAGCTCCAAAGGAAGTCGGCCAAAGCTGGAAATCATCTTTCCTTCTGTCAAACATGAACTCTCCCATCATCTCTACCTTCAACATGTTACAGACTCTGCTTTCTTTCAGTTTTCCTTTGCTTTTTTTTTCTTCTTCGCCATTTGTCACTCAGAGAGACAAACACTCACATGGCACATAAAACCAGCTGTCTGCTCTTGTCTGATGTGGGAAGCAGTTAACTGCCTACCGAGGCGTATTCATGGCAACGGGCCTGCAGCTGGTAGAAAGGGCGGGGGACGGTGGGTGCCGCCACCGCTGGTCTCTTTCAGGATAGCATGTGGACAACGAAGTGTGAACTGAAAGTGGGGGAGGAGACAGGCAGGTCATGACCCTTTTTACACACACACAGGTTGATTTACAGCTAATTAATTTTGCAAGTTAGTTATTTGACAGGTTTGATACCAAATGATTTACTAATAATGAACTTAATGCCTGCTATGAAATACTGTGATTTCTGTTGCCAGCTGCCTTGACAGGAAGGTGACAAGTTAATGGTCTGCACTTAACCTGTTAATTGAATATCTTAATAAAACTTTCAGAAAGTAATCACCGGTTGTGTATCTACAACTCAACGTTTGGAGTCAAGCTGTTTGACAATGTCCACCACAGCTAACCGACCAGAAACACCCAAAACTCAATCAGTTTTACGAACAATGAAATTTGCTGTGTTTTTGCAATAAAAAGGGAATTCCAAAGACTTTTTTCTGAGCACTAACAGATCGAGCAAGGATTTTAGTTTAGTTTAGTTTATTAGTCCATTTAAAAACAAAGCTAATTCAGTGTACAAAAAATACAAATGAAAAATAAAATGAAAGGCAGCAGACGGAAGAAAAAAAAATCTTGTAATATCTGCACCTGTTTCCATCAAAAGAAGTTCAAATAATAATAAAAAAACAGAAAAAAATAAAAAAATATGAACTTATGCAAGAAGAGATTGGCAGGCAAAGAATGCTACTTGTATTAGATGATTAAATTACCCTAATTGAGTCTAAAACTAATTCTATGATGTTGATTTTTGTCTATTCTCAGTGTTTTAGCCTGGTTTGATCACTAGAGGGAGCTACACACAAGATTCTCATAAACATTTGTGTTTCAACAGAAAGGCCTGCATATAAAATGAGACACTCGTAATCTATTCAGTGCAGCCTTCATGTATTTGAGACGCTTTACTGAAATATATTTTGAGGAAGGCTTTGAGCATTTTTTTTTTAAGTTTAATGTTTGAGTATTTTGTGTACGTAATGTTCGGATGGCTGCAGTATTTATACTTTTCCAAGAATTATTAGCAGAACAAGTTCACAAAGAAAAAAAATGTCCCATCCTTTAGTCTTTTAGTGCTTGTACCATCATAGCCTGCATTATTACAACCTGAAAACTACCTATGGTCAAATAAATAATTAAATAAATCCTGCTTCCAAATTATTCTGCCCAGATCTAATTGTCGTTCAGCTGTAAACAAAATCAGTTTGTGCGTGTGTGCGTCTGTGTGCTTGTGWGGTGGAGGTGGGATGGGGGTTGTTGGAATGGGGAGAGTTGTTGCAGAGGTGCAGGGTCTGCTTTGGTTTGATAAGACTTCCTGCAGGTGAATATAAAACGGTTTATCCATGAGAAAAACTGAGCAGTTTGTGTGTGGATGAACCAAATTATCAACTGTTAGTCAGAGCTGAGAAAGAGACAGCTGTGAGGATGCAAAGAATGGTATTTAAGTGTTTTTATGTTCACTTTTCAGTATTGTGTTAATGTTTTTTTTTTTTTGTTCTTTTCCTTTTAAAATGGCAGATTATTGGTCAGAAATACACAAGAAGTGTTTTTTTTAATGAAACATCTGAACGTTAGACTGTACTCAGAGATTAACTCTGGGCAGATTTGTGCTTTTTTAAATAAGTGATGTGAAGACCAGCAGTCCTTCCACTGCTCCTTCACTTTTGATTATCTCCTGATAGCATGATATTTTAACACCCTTTGCATGAGAATTCAAACAAAACCAAAATCTCCAAAAATGGATGACAAAGCATGTCTTTTTTTTCCCAGGGAAAATGAACCCAAGCAGTGAAAATGTTCAAATAAAATGACTATCAGCTTAACATTGAGCAATCAACTTTTTCCTTAAATGGGACCATCTAAATCAGGGGTGGGCAATCCTGGTCCTCGAGGGCCGCAGCCCTACAGGTTTTATGGTTTTCCCTGCTCCAACACACCTGATTCAGACATTAAATTACCTCTTCCAAGTTCTACAGTATGGAGGACCCAAACTGACATAACTAGAAAAAAGGCAGCAATATATAAATGGACCAATAAATAAATTTAATTAAAAATGTACCAATTGAATTAAAAAGGAGAGCTTTTCCTCACGTTTTATAATTTAATTCACCTTCATATTTATTTTTCCAATGGAGGACCCAAAGTGACATAACTAGAAAAAAGGCAGAAATATATAAATGGACCAATAAATAAATTTAATTAAAAATGTGCCAATTGAATTAAAAAGAAGAGCTTTTCCTCACGTTTTATAATTTAATTTAATTTATTTTTCCTGTATTTTAGGGGTGCAACAATACATGTACCCGCGAACAGTGCTTTAAGTTCAATACACACTTGTATCGAACAACACAGATTCTTAAAATTTACTTTATCAACTTGTCTTCTGAAGATGCTCTGTGTTGAAGGATCAGTGGATCTGTGTTCGACTACTCCACCTAGGCTGCATTGTCGAGCAC